TATCGATACTGTTTTATCGCCCAGGCCTATACAGTATCTAACTGAAAACCAGGAACCACAGAGGAAGACTGTTTCAAGTTAGCATCAAGCATCCACCAACAACTTAATAATATGCTACACTGTAGGTAAACATAACAAAATGTGTTTTGAAGACAATCACATGATTATAGAAGCTTGTTTCCACCACAAAATATAATATAAATAAATAAATAAGGTAACTGCAAATGTTTACCTATATCTCTAAATTCAGACATTTTACTTAGATTTGTGAGATATAGCCCAAACTCAGAATTCTGATTTACTTTCTTGCAATTCCAAGTCTACATTTTTCAATTTTTTTCTAAATTTACATCTCGCACTTCTGTTTTTTTTTTTTTCTCGCTAGTTTATATCTCACAATTGTGAGTTCATATCTCATTCATATCTCAATTCAGAATTGTTAGATGTACGGTAAACTCATATTTGCAAGAAAAAGTCAGAATTGTGAGGGGGAAAAAAAATCACAATTATCTTTTTTATTTTTAATTATTTTATTTATTATTATTATTATTTATATTTTATTCTGTGGTGGAAACAGGCTTGATGCATCTAAACAATCACAGTGAAAAACGGATTCAAGATAGAGGAGAATGTGGAAAAAAAAGTAATTTTGTTATAATTATTTAAAAATACCAAAACACACTCATAAAAATGTGTTCGGTTTAGTACAAATGGACTATTCTACCCTTTATTCTGCATTTTTATGCATCATGCCATTAGCACAGTACCATACAACCAAATTCTACTGAAATCTCGGTTGCACTTTATTTTACGACACGTGTACTTACAGTGTACTTACCTAAGAAAGTACTGTAATATAAGGTAACTACATGGGGTAGGGTTAGGTTTAGGGGTAGGTTCAGGGTTCGTACTTAGTTATTACTAGGGTTGGGTACTGAACTCAGTACTTTTAAGGGTACCGACCTAATTGCATCGGTACTACCGATTTATTTACGAATAAATCAAAAGTAGCCACTGCCACTTAATTTGAATCGCGATATGAACTAGTGTCTGTGAATATTAAAATGCAAAAAGACGGTTTAAATATGAATCCTGCATGTTCCGCTTGCCTCTGTATGTATGAATGGCGGAAACACGGTTTTGTTTACCACACAAATACTGAAGCACGCGTGACGCTCGCGGTGATTTTCTGCCTCTGCGTAAAACACAAAAACTTAATCTCCAGAGCTGCTGTGAGAGTCACTTCACCAGAATTTTACCGTTTCATTTAAGAAAACTAGCATCATCAAACTGTATACACACAGAAACTTCATGGCAACCTGTCAAAATAAAAGTACAGTTTAACATGTAACAGAAATATATTACTCTTGTATTACTTTTGTACAGTATAATGTACATCTTTAAATATTGCATTTTCTATCAAATTTAAATAAAACAATTAAATGATAAAAATAAGTATTACAACCAGATTAATCACTTAATTGTAGAAAAAAAATATACAATTATTAGCCTATTAAAAATGTTTTAAAGGAATATTCACACAATTTTTCTTCCATTCCGTATTAATTTTTAACAGTAAACCTCAGTTTGTTTGCCAAAAAATAAAAAGGTTTCATTTTAATTTGATTTAAAATAAATGTTTAATGCCTTCATTTGATTTTCAGAAAAATTAAAACAAGAATTTCTGGGGGGAAAAAAGAAAGAAAGAAAGAAAAAGTTTGTAGGGCCCTATTGTTCAAAATGTTGAAATTGATACTTTTGGACTTATTTTTTCACTAAAATAAATGTTTTTGCAATTACACAGAGAGTAAAGTACCGAAAAAAGGTACCGTTGGGTACCGGCACCGAAATTCAGATACTGATACCGGTAACGTACCGGTTAAAATGTGAACGGTACCCAACCCTAGTTATTACTAGTGGTCGACCGATATATCGCCAAGGCCAATAAGTTTTTCTGTTTGGCCGATGCGTTCGAGGCGGGACTTTTATTTTGACGGCGAGCCGAACATTTATTTTGACAGCGCTGAGAGCGGCAGCGTCTGAGCACACAGTGCTCACATTCTCCCTCTTGTTCGCCATCGTTGTTAACAGCTCTGTCTAATACGGATAGAAGTCTGTCTAATAATCCGATAGAACTATTAAACAAAGGAATTAAAATGAGCAAATACGCATTTACATCATTTAAACAAATCTTTAAATGGCTAATGAAAATTTAATTTCACAATCCTTGCAAACTTAGTCGAATCCAGTTGTGAGATCTTGTGAAGTGTGCATGTGACCTGCATGATCGTGCGTTCTCTGCGTGACTTTCGGTCTGTGCAAATTGAATGCTTTAAATATTAAATTCGTGATTTCAAATTATGCTGTGCTTTATGCATTTGCCCACTGTCATATTCATGTCATTTTCACTGTGGGCTGTATGAAAATGAGGGTTACCTTGGCTTTATTTGAAAAAATATGATTCCCAATGCACACAAACTTCCCAGAATACTGAGTGCTCTGTTGGTTACAGTTTACTTCCTTTTTAATTCTATTTTTATTCAATATTTATTTATTTGTGGAAAATACTTTGTCATCTAAAGTATAAGTATGTTTATTTTACAAATTTATTTATCTATTTTCAAATGATTTCAAATTTCTTAAATATTAATTAAAATAAATACAATTATATCGGCCATCGGCCACCCTGCTTTCCAAGATATCGGCATCGGCTATCAAAAAACACATATCTTTCGACCACTAGTTATTACCAATTACTATAATAAGTACATAGTATGTACATGAGGAACAGGACTGTAAAATAAAGTGCTACTGAAATCTCACTACATATAATTAGAGTCAAGTTCTGCTCCATATAAATGTCAAAAGTATTATCATTTATTCTTTTGCCAGATACTTTTAACCAAAGTGACATACATTCATGCAATCCAGCTATTCATTTCAAATGTATCAAACCTTGGTATTGCTAGCAACACAGTCTATCATTTGAATTTCAGAAGTAGCACTTTTGTATTGTTCTGCTATAATTGTAAATCAAATGAATGTCACCCTGTCTGACACATGCCAACAAATACAGTTATAATTACAACAATTAATCAATCCAAGTTCAGAGTGAAATGGGTGAAAATAATTATAAGGATTGCCTGCTGTTGCAGACGCAGGTAAATTAAATGATGTCATGCCGTGCTGAGGTCTCACAGCATTGGCTAATTGTCTTTGTGACTCAGACCCTTGAGACAGAATATCTGACCGCGCTCGCCTCATTCACTAACACCCCGTGGGCCTGGTTAGCACCTGGTTATTACAGCCAATGAGAGCTCTAGAGACACTTAAACTAGACCTGTGGTTAATGTCGTCATACAATTTTCCAACCGATTTTAAAACAAGACTTTAAAAATTATACAATGGAGATGAATTGACACTGTCCTCACCACCTAAGCCCTTTTTTATGTATACATATATTAAACAAACTTTATATTTTTAAATCCACAAATGCATTAATGGCAGTATGATATTGTATGGAATCCTGTTCGCGCCATGCAAAGAAAATTTTGTTTTTTTCAGAATTGTGAAATATAAACATCTCTCACTTTTTGTTTCTGCCACAAAAAAATGTAATTGTGCCTATTTATCTCACAATTCTGACTTTTTCTCTCAATTGCGAGTTTATATCGCACAATTCCAACTTTTCTTCTCAGAATTGTGAGCTTATTTTTTGAAAGTTAACATTACACATTAAAATTCTGAGTTGATATTTCGCAATCCTGAATTATGAGTAGGGCTGCACGATAAATCGCATGCGATATTTAACACGCATCTTATCAGTAAAGCCGGTTCTGTAATCAGCGGTAAATCTCCATCACCTGCGGGCTTTCACATTGAGCAGCATTAACTACACAGAGCCGTTGTTCACTGACGATGCGCGTTAAATATCGCATGCGATTTATCGTGCAGCCCTAATTATGAGGGAAAGAAAAATCTGAATTGTGAAACAAACTCAGAATTGTAATTACATTTACATTTAGCAGACGATTTAATCCAAAGCGACTTACAAATGAGGACAATGGAAGCAATCAAAATCAACAAAAGAACAATGATATGCAAGTGCTCTAACAAGTCTCAGTTAGCTTAATGCAGTACACGTAGCAAGTTTTTTAATGATATAATAAATAAAAAGAAAACAGAATTAGAATTAGAATTAGAATTAGAATTAGAATAGAGAGTGCTAGAGTTAGAGGTCTCAGTTAGCTTAACACAGTACACGTAGCAAGGTTGTTTTTTAAATCATATAATAAATGAAAAGAAAACAGATAGAATAGAAAGAATAGAGCAAGCTAGTGTTAGAGGCATTCTTTGCTTTTGTTAACTGTATAATAAATATATAATAATTTATAATCATAAATTAATGAATAGTAATTTAATAAATTCATTTATAATTCAGAGAAAAAAGTCAGAATTGTGAGTCACAACTATCTTTTAAATTGTTTATTCTGTGGCAGAAACAGGCTTCCATAATATCAGAGTATCAGTCATTAGTCTTGCATAGGTCACTTTTGAGTAATAACATCTGGACCGCTTTGCATCTTATTCTGGCCAATAACCACCCATTTGTACAGGAAGAGACCGCTTGACCTAGAAAACATGTATACCTGTTACTGGTTTAAGCATTTTTCTCTAAATAGCATGAGCGCTGGACTCATTAAAAGTAATGCTTTATTCAGAACCTGGCTGATTTGAATGGCCTGAGTCACCTGCTTAGTGCCTATAGACTGAAAACAACACAGATCCACCACAAGAGTACACAAAATGTATTCAAAGCTAATTACACAAATACAGAGCAAGGAACAATGAGAATGCGCAGTCGTCTTTTTGAGGCAGTTATGCACATATATTCTTAATTAAGAAATAGTAACACGTAGTGCTGCCTCTTTGCCACACACACACACACACACACACACACACACACACACACAATAACTGATACATCTGTTTGGTCTGACCTGGTCATCCACTTTGTGGGCTATAATAGTGGCTCCTTCCTCCAGTTCAGCATCACTTAATGGCCGAATCCGCAGGGCCACCTGCAAAACAATAAAAAAAGGTAATGCACTATTTTTTTTAAAAGCATGCATACCACTGAATCAAATAAACCAAATGGCATGCATTTAAAAGAAAAACAACAACAACACTAACAAGATAGCACAAGCACATTTTTTCAGAAAAAATATATTATATTATCATTATGTTTTTGTTACTATACTATATTTTATATATTTACCTATTTTATCATTGTGTTGAGTAATATTTTGTATAGAATGCAGTGAAATTCATACAGTGATTGCAATATCCTTGGGAAATAAAAGATAGCAGCAGTTTACATTAATGAAATGTGAGCACAATACTCTCATTAATTTGTATTTCAAGGGCATTTCCGTTTGAGTCTGCAGGAGAATCGATTTGCACACAACCAAAGTTTCTTGTGCTGAAATAAACACTGACGGGTCACGGTGCAACGATGCAGCTCTACAATCTAAGTAGTTAATTATGCAGTATGCATATTATAGCTGGAGGTTGTTATTGCTTGTAGAGCAACAAATGCCATCATTTAATATGCTAACGGGAAGCGGCAAGACCAGTTCTGTTATGTTGCTCACAGCCAATACTCACATAAAATCACTGCAAATGTCTCCACCTAAATATGGGCCACAGATTTACAGAGCAATTTTTTTTTCATCATTAATTTTCTAATCATATAGAAACTGGCCTACAAAAGGTACGTGACTGTCTCGCATTTACATTAGCTAAAACACAGTAATAATGTATTACAGTGGAAGAAGAGAAAGGGAACTTAAACTGCCGCTGTGAATTATTGAGAGGGGGGCAAAAGATCACTAGAAAACAGGTATTAAGCTCCCAGAGAATCTAAATATAACAAGTGTAGACTGTCAGACTGAAATCTGTCCAGGGGTTTTAAGTAGACAAGCTGTCAGTGAATGAAATGTGACTATAGAAGTAAATAAAATCCACTTGTTTCGCTATATAATTTTTTTTTTTATATTAACTCATGTATTTCTATCACATATATGCATATAAAGTTATTGGCTAAACACAGTCGAAACTCTGACATGTGCATGCGGTATGCAGAAATCAAGTATACACATGCATAGTTGATGCATATTTATTTATTGTTTATTTTATATATATATATATATATATATATATATATATATACAACATG